AGGCCCCACGACCAGACCCAAAATGGATGTAGAAGCCACCAGAAGCTTCCTTCTGTACAATCTCACACCTTGAAAGGTTTGAGACAACCATGAGCCTGACTCCAGTGCTGTGTGTTGGCATCCAATAACTGGGGCTGTATCCCTTCTTCCTGCCCTAAAGAATGCTCCTTTTCCACAAAGGCCTGAGTCCTGCTTCATCTTGTGGAGCCCAGGCCACAAGAGGGAGGCCATCTCTGAAGTGGTCTGCAGCGTGAGTCTGGGCTGGGTCACATACAGAGCATGAGAGCACAGGTCAGAAACCATGGCCTGTGCAGGCTGTGCCAAGGTTGTGCTGACTCTGGAAGAGAAAGGAACCGAGGCTGCAGGGGCCACCTTTCTGGAGATCATGACCTTGTCTCATCCCCCCAAGGTGAAATTTGACCGCCCATTCCTTGCCGTAATTGTTGATGAAGAGACCGAGAGTCTCCTCTTTGTGAGAAAAGTGGTGAACTCCATACAGCAATGACCACTCTGGGCAGGTCCCTTCCTTGATGGCATTAAACACAGACCAAGCTGGCCCAACCCTCATTCATGGTGACCTTCACATCTGTCACGATGTGGTCTCTGTGATGTCCTTTGCACCTGAGAGCTTGTGTGGACTCCAAGTCCCCCATCCTTCACTGTCCTTTACATTCACGAGTTCCTGTGCTGGACAGGCAGGACTGGCACAGGACCATGTCAGAGACCTCAGTCCATGGCCCTGAATCCATCTGAACCCTAGAACTGCATTTGATCTGGGAATTCTAGGGTCCTTTGGCCCAGACACCAGCGTTGGGCCCAGGATCCACCATGTCCCAAGTCCCTGTGGGAGTGCTCCCCACACCCACTCCCTCCCCACAGCCACTTCCACAGAGATGGCTGTGCCCACCCAATCCTACCCTCTGTTCCCGGAGCCTCCTGCCCAGCCTTGGTATCCATGCTACTGTCCAGCCCTGGCATCAGTGGTGGCCTCTCTTGCCCCTGAAGGGAGAGGACCCCATCCCTTCTCCTCCCCTTGTCAGCTCAGTCCTGGCCTGGACTCCACATTTGCCTGAGATCCACTGAGCATAGCCCAGGGAGGTGGAGTGGGGCCTTCCTGCATGGGCAGCTGTGAACACCAAGCTCTGTCCTTGTGATCCAGCCAGGACACCCAGCTCTGTCCTCGTCATCCAGCCCATGCCTCCCCTCTCCCATTTCCCTCCCTGCCCACCCTTCACCCAGGCAGTGAGCTCTGGGAGGAAGGTGCCTCTGGCAGTGGGCAGAGCTGTGTCTAACTGACCTCAAGTCCCACCTTAGCTTTCTTGGGGCAACTTCTGTCCCTCTGTTAGGTAGTCAGAAGCTCACGAGGGTTTTCCCACAACTGAAACCCATCCTTGCCCACAAAAGCCAGAAGACAGTAGTTTAGGTTCACCTGAAGATGCAG